AAAGGAGAAATGATGAAGAATCAGGAGAAAAATAATCACTTTTTCATACAGTGACAAAAGCTCTAAATAAAATGTGCCATAAAAGTTCTGTAATCGTATTCACATCAGATTAAAAAATGACACCTGCAAGAAATTCTTTATAATAAGTACATTCGTTTAGCTGATATTATCGGCCGATATGAGCCTGTCACCGATATATCGGTATCGGCGAATATGGCGCCGATATGAATTTTTTTTTAATATATTATATTTTTTATATATTTCATAATGAATGTTCCAAAGTGAAATAAACTTAAACGGAATAAAGTTGAATGGAATTTAATTGAATTAAAGTTGAATAAACTTCAACTTTACTGTTTCAGTGCACTGATGTCGGATTCATTTTGAATAAAGTTTATTGTTAAATTGTTAAATGCCCTGCCTCCATTAAGTATCTTTGTCACGTCATTATAAGTGTTTGATCACCACATTTGAGTGATCATTGCAAAAAATGTGTTTATGTATATATATTCTGTTTATGTTATGGACCCTCGAATGGGAAGGTGTCCAAACTTTTGACTGGTACTGTACTATAATATGCACAAATAATATTGGCCAATATATCGATATCGGCCTTTTTTTACTCCCTAATATCGGAATCGGCCCCCAAAAAAAAAACATCGGTCGGGCTCTAGAAATTAGAGAATCTATAAATACTTGATTTTTTCTGAAATATTGTTAATCTTCATCGCTCAAAATTTGAAGGAATATTAGCTGTGGGAATACCACTAACATGTTTGACAAAAAACCCAGAGAATTTAAACAAAAAAACTTTATTTTGTGGAAAACAGTGATCAAAATTAGAGAACAGTAACCACTGCAGCACGAAAGAAGATTACGACTAACATTTTGGAGGGGCATTGTCTTGTATGAAAATAGAACTTGCTCTCATCACTAAAGTGAACTTTGCACCAGTTCTTCTCTCTCCACACAACATGCTTCTCAGAAAAAGTGAGCCTAGCCTTTTGAGTCTTTCTGCTGATGAGAGGCTTGATCACTGCAGAGTGTGCTTTCAGTCCGACTTCTCTTAAACGTGAAGAGACAGATCCGTACCCTGTTCAGTGCTGAACTGGTGAGCAATTCCAGCTGCAGTGCTGAACCGATTCCCTATTGAGTCTCTGCATTATCCTGTCTTCTCGTGCATTTAAGTGGACGGCCAGCCTTTTTGGCGGACTTGAATTAATTTGTGTCATTGTAAAGTTGCAATATTTTAGAAATCACAGATTTGGAACGAGCTTCTCTTGCTGTAGCTGAAAGTGTCATCCCTTTAGCCTTCATCTGGACCACCTCCTGTCGCAGGGTTTCAGTCACTTTAGAGCGGCCTGCCATCTTAGTGAAACTTAGAGGAATGCTGCCAGTGAAATAGGGTTTGTCAGATAATTAAGAAAATTAGCAGCAGATGCCAGATTGATACCAATAATCTGGAGGTATCTGTAAGTGTTCTCTAATTTTGATCAGAGTTCTTTTTCAAATATCTCATTTAAGTTTTTTAGTCTGTGCATCAGAATACAATTAATTTATTAAATATGCTTAAAAAACTGCCCTTGTACTCCTGTTAGGATAACTTCAAATAGGACTACGTCAGTGGTTCCCAACCATGGGTTTTGTGGTTAAAAAGTATATAAATGTTTATTTTTTGTAGTAAATGATGGATGGTTTCTCTAGATTCACGGCTGGGATCCTGTAGAGCTCTTTGAAGCTGCACTGAAACTGTGTACTCCTGTTAGGATAACTTCAAATAGGACTACGTCAGTGGTTCCCAACCATGGGTTTTGTGGTTAAAAAGTATATAAATGTTTATTTTTTGTAGTAAATGACGGATGGTTTCTCTAGATTCACGGCTGGGATCCTGTAGAGCTCTTTAAAGCTGCACTGAAACTGTGATTTGGACCTTCAGCACGTTGGTCCCCATTGAAGTCCATTATATAGAGAAAAATCCTGGAATGTTTTCCTCAAAAACCTTCATTTTTTTGCGACTGAAGACAGAAAGACATGAACATCTCGGATGACATGGGGGCGGAGTAAATCATCAGGACATTATTATTCCGGAAGTGAACTAATCCTTTAAGGAGACATGGAAAACATGCAGTGTTGGGGCTCCAGGAATGTGGTTGGGAACATAGATATGTATACGTAGATGCCTCATTAGCGACTGTTACTATGGGCCGCTATATGTAAGCCGTCCGCCATATTCGAAAAGTCAACTTGACATCATTCACCATAACAGTAACATAAGTTACCAATGTTTCAAAACTTGTAATATTGAGTTAAAACATTAACCTGTGAAAGGTTATCCCGTTTCTTCGGGAATTTAAATGCCGGCGGTTTTTACAACCTGTGCAGGATTGTGGCATCTTTGAATATTCATTGATTATTATGGTGAATGATGTTAAATTTGGCGGACTACATGCGTCTACATGCTTAGCGCAGTCGAATGGGGAATCTACCTATACATGTCTATGGTTGGGAACCCCTGGACTAAACAGTGACCTGGAAATCTAGGAAATTATAGGTTGTTTTCTAATCTTTATCTCCACTGTATATAGCCTAGAACTTTGGGGTGTCTAATTGGTCAAACACAAAAATTGTTAAGAGTTGAGTTCAAAATACTCAAGTCCAACCAAGACGGTATGTTTACTGTGATTCATATGTATCTGAAGATTCATGATTCCTATATATATCCATATTTTGGATGAGTAGTGTCCAGTTTCATATTTAAGGTTAAAAGATTTCGAATCAACTTGATTTTATTTACCTGATTGGATAATTTAATTTCTACAATGAAAATTTTGTTGTTTTTAAGTAATTGTCGCTTTGACAGGAATGGCGCGAATTACTGAGGTAAGTCACTTTTACCTCACGACAGATTAATCAGTTTGTTCGCTAAAATAAGGTTACCTAAAGTTAAGCATGAAGCACATATATTCGGCCTAGCGAACTTGTACTGTTTCAAGACTCAATTCAAAGTAATTAAAGTGGAAAAACCGAGTTTAATCTCAGTATTTTACCTTAATGAGGGAGGCCTTGATGTTTGTACCTCAGCCGACAAACCGTTCTTAACGAGCGACAACAACCTGAAGTGACAAGCCACGCCCACCACATGAATATTAATACCAGGAGCTACGTCACTGCTGACGTAGAGACGCACAAATAGTACTCTCGATACCAAAAAAAAAAGTCTTATAATAACGAATATGCAACTCATACTGAATAGCAAAATCCCTAAATTTACCAATAAATTAAAAATAATTGTTAGTATTGTTTTTCATCTTTGCAGATCAGGTAACATTTTGAAAAGGTAAATAGATCAATTTGAATACAAAAGGTTTTTTATACAAATACATACGTAATATGGGTTGTTAAAAAACAAACTAAAATTTACTTCAAAATCTAACATTATCCATAGAATGTCAGTTTATGTTGAATTTTCAGTAAATATTTTCTAAATATATGTTTTTGGTCTTATTGTGAATTGCTTCATCAGTGCACATTACAATAATGAAAAATTGAGTTTTGTGTGCGTAATATTTCATTAAAATGTAATTGCTCTGCTCTGAAGCTATAGAAAAACGCTTACGTATTTAACAAACGTTTCAGGATCAAATCAATTCCTGATGGATTAAATCAAGACCTCACCTAAACATATCCTTTTTTTTACTTGCAATAATTGTTTTGTTAATTTTTAAATTGGGAGTCTGAGAAAGCTTTTGCTCCGATATGAAAAGCACAAGCGCAAAAACACATTTCTGTGAAGATGAATAAATATGATATACACAAGACTTCAAAATCAATTTAATAATATACTGTATTTGATAACCTGCTAAAAGTACGAGCTATTTGCGTTCTCCTCTTGTTCAGAATTTTCCCATTTCTTTTCAAACAGAATATGAATTCGGAAGTATTGATCCGTCATCTAAACTTACTCCCAGACACGCAAAGCTGACTAAATTACCGCCGTGCGACATCTCAAGAGTAAGTCTGTCATTTTATAAAGAAAACACAAGCTCTGAATAATACTGACTTCTTATTTCCAATCATGTTCATTTCATACGGCTTTCAATGTTCACATCAAAACACACTGTTCCAGTTCATCTCATATCCATACACGGCCGACATTTATTATATGAATAACTGATAATCTCGGGCATCAGAGGGGAACATGATGCGCGCTCTACAAAACAGAGAGATTAATGGTATAAGTGTTAATTCATCCGTTTCCTGTAAAAGAATCTTTAGAAACAGATCAAACAGAGCCCTTGTGACCTTTGACCAACTGTGAAAGATGCATTAAACCAATAATGTTTTAAAGGAATACTTCACGAAAATGTGCTCATCCTCAGGCCGCGAGTCCATAATCCATAATAACTCTTCCTCCAGTGAAAAAGTGTTCTGGTCTGAATCAGGAGAGAAATCTGCACAGATCAAGCCAAAACAGCTCTAAACTTTTAAGCTTTTGGCTTCACAAGACATTAACTGACTGGAGTGCTGTGGATTACTTGTGGATTATTGTGATGTTTTTATCAGCTTTCATTCTGACGGCACCCATTCACTTGCAGTGAGACACTGATGCAATGCTACATTTCTACAAACCTGATGAAGAAACAAACTCATCTTGGATGATCTGAGGATGAGCACATTTTCATTTTTGCCTGAACTATTCCTGTAAACCAAACATCCTAGTACTGATTCAAATTTGATTTTCTATAAAAGAGCTGCATTTTTATTCACAGGCTGCAAAGAAGAGAAACTGAACGATGGAAAGAAAAAGAAACATGCATAAAGTGCAAGAACAAACACATGGCTAAAAGAAACAAAAAAAAAAAGCATTCAGAAGAAACCGGTCGTTATTGCTTGTGCATGAGTTTAGACTAACGGTTAATCTTGCTATGATGGCTAACAGCATGCAGCGAGAAACTTGCAAAAAAAAAAAGTCAGTGTCCAAACATCCTAGTACTGATTCAAATTTGTTTTTCTATAAAAGAGCTGCATTTTTATTCACAGGCTGCAAAGAAGAGAAACTGAACGATGGAAAGAAAAAGAAACATGCATAAAGTGCAAGAACAAACACATGGCTAAAAGAAACAAAAAAAAAAGCATTCAGAAGAAACCGGTCGTTATTGCTTGTGCATGAGTTTAGACTAACTGTTAATCTTGCTATGATGGTTAACAGCATGCAGCGAGAAACTTGCAAAAAAAAAAAGTCAGTGTGACAGTAGTGAGAAGCTCAAAAGAAAACGCACATCTTCTGTACATGCAACACCTGCTAATACGACCTCGAAGTCCAAACCGCTTTAACCCAAACACTGCAACTCAAGAGAAAGGAAATGATGTTCCATGATTTTCAGGTACGTCAGCCGTCGTACTTCCAGACCACTGCGCATGACAGCTTTTAAACGTTCGGCCCGAGAGACTCTGGTTTGCATTAAGAGATGATGACCAAAACAAAGTAGAAAAAAAGTGAAATTAGACGGTCTGATTGACACGATGGGGGACTCTAGTGGCTAGTGAAGCAACAGCATCCCTAAGAACAAATTCATTTAAACAGCTCAACTGAATCCCAGCATGCACCTCTGCAGAGCTGGCAAACACGCACATCATCTTCATGCAAAACACTTGTGAAGCTTTAGATGATCGGTTTGGTTACTACAACACTGGGTCCTGTGCACTTCAAGGTCCGAATGTTAGGAGAACAAAAGCAACACATGCAAAAACAAAAGCAGCAAATGAAATAAACGCAGCCGTGACGTTGACCTCTGAACCCCGTTGGTCTCTCTGCATCGTTCGCACAGTTCGGCGGGACTGGGTTTGTCAGGTCCGGTGTCTGATCTCAGTCCAGCGGCGTGGGGTCTGCGATGGGCATGGTGTGCAGGACCTCGTCCAGCAGCTGCAGCGCGCGGTGCAGGTGGATCTCGATCCAGCAGGGCGTCTCTTTGATGCTCTGTCGAGGGTAATCGGGACCCCAGCCCTTGACGAAACTCATGCGCAGGATGCAGAGCCGGCGGAGGTCGTCCACACCGATTCCAGCGGCCGCAGACAAACCTACATGAGCGATTACATTGAGTGAGTCTATGATAACACATGACCACATGATGCACTTTACACCAAAACAGATTCAGAACTATGGAAGCTTGTTTCCACCATGCAATTTAAAAGTACAAAGGTAATTGCGCATTTTTTAATTTTTAATTCTGAGAAAAAAGTAAAAAATTGCAAGATGTAAACTTTTATAAAAACACAATTCTGAGGAAAAAAGTCAGAACTGAGAGAGATAAATTCACAATGTAACAAAAAACAAGATTTTAAAGAAAAAGTTGCAAGTCACTTTTTTTTTTTTTAATCTGTCAAAAAAGCAAGATATAAACTCATTATTCTGAGAAAAATAAACATTGCGAGATGTAAGCTAAGAATTCTGTATCAGTAATTATCAATTTGAGATGGATATAAACTCAGATTTCAGAGAAAAAAAAAAAAAAAAAAATAGCAAGATGAAAACTCGTAATTTCAAATGCATAACTTGCAATTGCTAAATATAAACTTGCAATTCTGCGGAAAAAGTAAGTAAATTGTGAGATAAAAACGCGCAACTGCAAGAAAACAGTCAGAATTCCATTCAAAGTCTCAATTTCCTTTACTTTCTTTATTCTGTGGCGGAAACAAGCTTCCGTACATAATACTACTGCAGCAGAAATCAATCTGGAAGATTCTGATATTACTACAGAACCACACTTGTTTAGGCTGCAACTTTGTTTTAAAACAACACCAATGTCTATGCTATTAAAATCTGCAATTTAAAGTGCCCCTATTATGGATTTTTGAAAATGACCTTTCATGCAGTGTGTAATGTGAATGCAACCAGTGTGCAAAGTTGTAAAGTTAAAAGTGCATCATAAATAAAGTTAGTCTCTCTCAAAAAAAAAAAAACCGCTGAAACGAGTCGTTTGTAATTCAAATCCCATTTCTGCAAATTTTCACTTCCAAAGATGAAAGCAAAAATGCCATCAAAACTTGTCTGAGGACTGTCAGCTGCCTTCAGATTAGGCTTGCTGCGATAGACGGTGTTTTCGGTTATACCGTATTGGCCCGAATATAAGACGACCCCCCTTTTTCCAGATGTACCTTTTGGAAAAAGGCTTTTTAAAAACCAAATCTTGTTTTTTCTCAGTAAAACACATTTTGTCTTCAATTATTTTCATATTGCATATTTTTCCTATTTTAATTTTTGTTTTGAAAGTATGGTAAAAACTGGTCAAATGTACCAACAATCACATTTAAAAAATATACACTTTTTGATATACCATAAAAAAAAAAAAAAACAGGTAGCCCATCTGAATTAGGACATTTGGGCTATCCATCTAATAGTAGCCTACCAAAATCTTATTAACAGTAGAAGTTAAATCTTACTGTAGTCTTCTGGGTCTTAGTACCTAATCTGGGTACTGTCTTATGTTTTAAAATCACAAAGGGAGTTTGGTCAAGGTGTATATGCCGTGCCTCCAAGCTTTCTTACGCGTTTTGCTAATAAACATGTTCTGTTTCTTATTTATTTGGTTCCACAGTGTTTGCTGATTTTCAGTTTTATATACCTATTTAAACTTTGTGTAGCCTAAGTAATTTGTTATTTTATTAGGCATATATGGTGTATTTTTATTCGTTTTGTTAATAAAAGTTCTATGAGTTTGACGTTGTTGTTGCTTGAATTGAATCAACCGCTAATTTGAAAGTGAAAGTAAAACACGCACAGCGCTTTTTCAAGCTATTTGAACGCCAAGAAATCCGAGGGAAAACTCAAACAATTGCTTGACGCCGAATTACTAATTTGAAAGTGAAAGTAAAATGCGCACGGCACTTTTACAAGCCATTTGAAAGCGAAGAAAAGAGGGAAACTCAAACGAACTAACAGGTTTGAGACTATATGATTGTATTTCCAAGTGTGGCAAACTTCAGGAGTGTGAACATTAGGAGCACTTACTGATAGCAGGAGCGATTCCTCCCACGGATCCGGGGCCGGGGCATTTACGTATTTCATGGCACACTGGTTTTATGCGTATTTGGCGCCACCTATTGTTGTGGGTGTATTATTGACATGTCAAAGTCTAGACCCTGAATATAAGACGACCGCGTTTTTTCAGATGTATTTCCAAGAAAAAAACATCGTCTTATATTCGGGTCAATACGGTACCAGTGTTAAGCCGCAACACCGGTTACGTCATTTGCCCCCCACTGTCGTTTTGATTTTTTTACGCCGCTGCTTGTGCTGTCGCCGCCTGCTGCTGCATCTGTCTGTGGCACTGACGCAGATCAAACACCTGCAGAACAGAGCAGGAGCAGCTCAGGTCAAGCTCCTGAGATCAGCATCGACCGAGAGCTAAGCCCGCTTGACCAACTAACAGTGTCTGCATGATTTTGTGCATCCAACATCTAAAATGTGCACGCATTACATACTGTATGTACATAACTTGAAGCACATTTAACATTCAAGTTAAAACTTTGTAAAATAAATGTTTTATGTATCTTGCATTTCGTATCAGGAAATATACAGTGAAGTTCAAAAGTCTGAGGCTCCTGTAAAAAAACAATAATAATAAAAAATCCAACTTCCGTTTTATCACAAAAACTCTATTTTAACAGTTGACTGAATTATCCAATTTAGAAAAAGTTAACATTACACAAAAAGTCAGCCATTTATTATTACCAACTAACAGGCTGCATATTTATTATTCATAATTAATAGATGTTTTAGCCCTATGTAGTGTTTTTTTATTGATTAGTTATTTTTCATGTGACCACTACAGTGATTAGTTTCTTCTATTTCAGCAAGTATATACAACTGGTTTTGGTTGTCTAACCTTTTCAGTTCATTCAAATTACTAAAACTTTAAATAAAATGAAAAAATTATATATACAGTATATATATATACACCAATTACACAAAATAATGTTCTTTTTAGCAGCATCATATGACCCCTTTAACACACATCAGATCAAGCTGAATCATCACCAGTTTAATCGTGATGACTGTGTCAGCTGTACCTCGCTCTCTCGATGGCCTCCGTTCGGTGGACGTTGCTGAGCTGGCCGAGGCAGAAGCGATCTCCTCCGGAGGGGTCCACGTACCCGTCGACGGTCACGATCGGACAGGACGAGGGAACTTTAAACGTCTCGCCCACTTGAACGTCCATCTCGAAGTAAGCGATGGAGCACCAGTACTCTGGAGCTGCCCGAGATCAAGGGATCATTAGACATCCGAACACGACCGAAATGAGATTTGAACAGAATTAAACTCTTACAAGGGTGGCTGGAAATCGGTGGCTGAAAGGCGATTTCATTGTGAACGGGCCCTGAGGAGAAAATAACATGCACTGAGTCCACAGAGATGCACAATATACTGGATATCTACAGAGTTTTACAATCCTGCACAAATTAAATTAATACTGTATGACCAAACCCATATAAATCATGTAAATAAACCATGCATCTCAGATTGTTTTACTTGGTTAACAGGCTGTGGCACACGTTCAACTACAAAACAGCTTAAAAGTATTCAGTGGTGTAATGTAAAGTATTTTTTGGGAGTATCTGTACTTTGCTTGAGTTAACTTTGTCTATATCACACATACTCTACCATTTTTCTGCAGATATCAGCATGAACACATTTAATAA